CCATCCATCCATCCATCCATCCATCCACACACCCACTCCACAAGCCAGCCAGCCAGCCATCTATCTATCTATCCATCCACCTACCATATACCTATCCATCCATCCATCCATCCATCCATCCATCCATCCATCCATCCATTCATCCATCCATCCAGTCATCCAACCAACCTGCCAGGAAGGCAGGCAGACAAGCAGACAGGCAGGCAAGCAGTCATTGGCTCCTACTGTTGCCAGTCCTTGTGGGGGCCTTTTAGAAGCCATGGCCCGTGCAGTTTTTTGTAGGGACACACGGTCCTTACATGGTGGCAAATGCCTGGCCTGTTCTCATCTACTGGAGAGAGAAATGCCTAGGGTCATGTTTGTCCCTCCCTTGGAAGATGGCAAGGGGCAAGCGTGGTGGTCCTTGACCCTGGCTGCTCATCAGATCCCTAGTAATGTGTTTCTCAGCCCAGTCTGCCACAGTCAGAAACTCCCGGGCAGGGACCCGGGAATCTGTGTCTTCTTCAATCCTGCAGGCGAGCTGGCTGGGCCGCATGGGAAAGGGCTCCTCTCCCAAACTCAAAGAGACCTGGGTTAGAACCCTGGCTATGCCTCTTATAGGCTGCCTAGCTTAGTGAAACCTCTGTGATGTGGTGTTGTCATCTGTAGAATGGGGAATCACAACCCTAAGCACCTTGTAGGATGATTGCCAGTTAAGACATTCCCTATCGAGGACTTAGAATCGTGTTTGGGATATGATAAGCATTCACTATCTTCCTGTTGTTATTCTGCCATGAATAACTTGTGCGCTCATAAAGCCCACCTCACTCCCTTCCCTCTGCCCCTCCATCCCTCGTCCCTCAGGGGTCTCCTGCAGCAGATTCACGATCAGGAGCCTGGGGAAAGCTTGTGTACCTCAGTGTGTACCACTGAGGAAGGCCCCAGTGGTACACACTGTCTTCAGTGCTGGGAGCCCGGCCAGCCGCCTCGAACTCATGTCCCTGTGCTCCTTTCTCCTGCAGAATTCTCCGCTCTGGTGGCCGAAAGCTAAGAGGCACCGACTGCCCCGGCCTTCCACCTCCCTGCCCTGGACACCTATCTCAGCCCCTCTCGCCACCCTCCTGTGTTGCTGTTCAGTTGGTTTGTGTTATTTTTTACTCCTCCCATCCCCTGCAGCCCTTGTATGACACCGTTCTTCTGAAAAATGCTGGAGAAATAATAAAGGCTGTACCGATTGGACTCTGCCTGCTGGGAAAGGACACAGGCCTGGTGGGGCGTGGACCCCCTTGTTTCCTCAGACGAGCCTGGGTGGGCAGGGCTGGAGGGATAGGACATGTGATCCTGAGCGAAGTGCTCTGTGCAGGTGGTCCTTTGGCCCTTGAACCAGCCCAGAAGGGAGATAATGAAATGTGCCAGTTTCCAGCAAAAGACTCAGACAGGTGAGGGGAATATGTGTGAATCACTGAGCTAGGAGCTGCTGGGATGGAGATTTGAACTCAGGCCTGTGGGTGGGTGGCTCAGGCCTGTGGGTGAGCTGGTGGGTGGGTGGATGGATGGATGGATGGATAGATAGATAGATAGATAGATAGATAGATAGATAGATAGATAGATAGATAGATAGTCTAAATCATCCATATAGCTAGGATTGGTTAAAACTGAGATTTGAATAAGGTCTGTGAGTGTGGAAGTAGATGGATATATGGATGGATGAAGGATGCATGCATGGATGCATGAGTGGATGAGTGGATGGATGCCTGTTTAGACTCCTCTTCTTACAAATACCAAAAACCCAACCCAAAGTAACTTAACCAACAAAAGAAAAATAGGCTGACTTGGCTTGTGGACCCAGGTGCTAGGAGTGGCCCTTCATGTAGGTCTCTCCAAAAAACACTCATTGCCGTCCAATTGATGGTGACCCATAGAGACTCTGTCTGTCATCGTGGGACAGAGTAGAACTACCCCTTCCGGTTTCCAAGACCTGAATCTTGATGGGAGCAGGCAGCCTTCTCTTTCTCCAGTAGAGAGACTGGTGAGTTCCAACCTTGGACTCTCCTTGCTGTGGCCCACTATGCTCCCAGGGCTCCTGAGGAAGGCCCCGGTGGTGCACACTGTCTTCCCTGGACACTCACCTCCAGGCCAGCAGTTAGAGCCCGCCTAGGAGAAACACAGAAGAAAGGCCGGGCCATCTGCTGCCAAGGCGAATCAGTTCCATAGCAACTCGGGGTTCTTAGGCTTGCTTTCAGGAACATCGGGATGGGGCGGGGGGGTGGGGTGGGGCTACGTGATATCATTAGGACCTCATCTCTGGGCATGGCTGGTCTTTGCACCAGGCTCACTGGCAGGCAAGTTCCCCTCACGATGGCAAGATTTGCCCTGCAGCCTGAGGTGCCCACTCCAAGACCAGCAAATGATCACAGCAGCTTCTCCCTCCCATTGGCATCATCCTTACTCATCACTTGACACTGGGCACTCCCTCTGGGTGGGGCAGGGTGTCAACCCTTCCCTTAAGCCTGCCTGGACATGGCCAACCCGCGGACCCGATGCTGACTCCTGGTAGCCCTCTAGCGCAGAGCAGAGCGGCCCCCATGGGTTTCAGAGCCTGTAACTCTTGGCAGGAGTAGACAGCCTCATCGTTCTCTTGCAGAGCAGCTGGGGGTCTTGAAGTTAGCAGCCCAACTTCTGACCCCTGTGTGCCACCAGGGCTCCTGCCTGGACATGCAGTGGGTCCCATTATCATCCCCAACTCCAGTAGTCTCCCAGAGCCTGTGCTGTCCCATCATGGTGGCCAGGATGGTGCCCACCTTCAGGGACAGGGTGAGGTGGGTCACAGAGCAAGCTCACAGTCCTGCAGTAGGGGAGACTCTCCTGGGGAGAGTCAGGCAGCTGAGAACAGGCTGGGGGCCAGAGTCGCCTGTCGGGGAAACAGGAGCTCTGTTCTTTCTCCCTGGGGGAAGCCTTTCATTGAAGGCCATGCCTGGGCAGGATCCAGACTGAGGGTCAGGAGGAACGGGTGACCTTCCAGGGGGTCAGCCAGGCATAGCAATCAGGGTCCAGGCCTGTGAGGGCAACTGAGACCAGAAGACCCAAACAAGGCTATAGCAGCAAGAAGGCCCTGAAGGACTAGCCTCCTGTTTAGCCCAGCACTGCCCAAGGCTGATCTCTCGCAGGCTGCAGGTGAGCTGGGGTGAGTGGGCCGGTGTGTGTGTGCAAGTGATGGGGTGTGAGGGCACGTGTGCATATGTGTGTGTGCATGTGTGAGAACACAGGGGTGCACACATGCTCATAGTTAGGACCTGGGCAGACCTAGGTTTCTGTGTGGGGCCTCAGGGGCCCCAACTTTGGTCACGGAGAATGGGAAGATAAAGAGGGATGCCCCCACCATGGAATGGACCCCAATCTGCACACACACACACCCAATGGAGGATGGAGCCAGGACTAGGAGCATCCGCACCCCAAATCTAAGACAGGCAAACGTGGCAAGCTGCTACTGCTGCTTCCTGGTGGACTGAGGGTGGCTCTCAGGTCCCCCCTCTACCCTCACATTCCAAATGACAGCCTCATACCCTAATTCAAACTCAGAGCAGCAAAGACAAAGCAGGCCAGCCACGACCCTCCCACCCAGGGCCTGCCCTGAGAGGACTTGCTGGGGACCTGGGAGGATGAGGAGGAAGTCAAGGTCCTGGCGGGCAGGGAAAGACCAAGCCCTTGTCTGATGATCTGAAAGCCCTAGAGGCACACACCACTGGCAAGAGATGTACTGCTTAGAGACCCAGAGGCAGGGTCTTCTCCAGTGGGCTGTGCCCCGCACCTTGTGACACAGGAGGGACACTGTCCCTGGGGTGCAGGGGACAGGGGACAGTGGTGGTCAGGTGATCTTGATAAGGACACCCAAGGTCAGCTGTTCAAAACCACCAGCTGCTCTGCAGGAGAACAATGAGGCTTTCTACTCCTGCCAAGAGTTACAGGCTCCGAAAGCCACGGGGCTCTGAAACCCTCTGCTCTGGGTTACGGGCTACCAGGAGCCAGCATCGGGTCCACAGCAGTGAGTTTGGTTTGGTCACGTTCAGGCAGACTTGAGGGAAGGGTCGACACCCTGCCCCCCACAGAGAGAGTGCCCCAGGTCATTGACTGAGCCCTGTTCTCCCACCCAAGCCTTCCTCCATCTGAATCCCCGTGCCAGCATGGCCCCATCCCTCCCGATCCACAGTCCACACAGAGGGTTCCCCCAAAAGTCTAGATCAGCTCGCTCTCCTTGGACCCTCTGCCTGTTCTTTAGAACAAAGTGAGGGGACCGGCTCCCCACTGTGGGGATGGCTCAGCACCTCGCACCACCACCAACCTCCCATGTTGCCCCACCTCTTCCCCTGCCCACCCTCGGCCCTCAGTGCTCCCACCAACCCCACCACCACCACCACCACTGTCCCTCCCGCTGCAGCATTCTGCTCTCATCCCTCCCCAGACTCGCCCACCAGTCCTCACTCAGTCCTACTATTTTGGGGTACAAAAGAGACCCCATCTCAAATATAGCTTAAGGGGAATATTGATTAAGTGTTATAGGGATGAAAGGTGACGATGCCTCATGCAAAGGGGGGGAGACCGTTCCCAGGAAGGTCCACGGTCAGGAGGAGGCTGAAATAAGGCACAGAACTAAGGAAATGGTCACAAACCCGTGGTTGGTGGCAAACAGATGCATCCCTGACAGAAGGGACTATAGAGGCGAGAACAGGGCCATCACTGGGGACATGTACGTTGTGTTGGGTATAAGAGCTTGCAAGATGAGCCCAGGACCCTCTGACCATGACAGTCAGGGCACGACTCTTGACTATGGGACACCCACACACACATACACCAACCCAGTACTGTCCATCAAGGACACACCCAGGGAAGCCCCTCATAGACTGCCCCTCCTTGGACTGGCTGGACGTCGTCGGTGGGGGTCATGCGCGTTCCTATGCAGTCTGTCTGAAGTCAAGGCTGTTCACCTCTCTGGTTTAGAGGAAGGAATTCAATGGAGACTGAATCCACCCAGAGACTCTGCACCTGGATACGGGACCCGCGCCGTCATCCACAGCCTCCCGCATCGGGGTGCTCAGCTCTCTCCTTCCTCTGAAAAGCCAGCCCCAAACGACACCACAATATCCGTCTGTGTTCCCGGTGACCTGAGCCCGTCCTCTGTTCCGGACACCGGACGCCGGAGGCAAGGCCTGCAGCACAGGGCGAGGCTGAGTCCATGACTGCAAAGCCAAGACCAGAGAGGGCAGCGCGGGGCAGGACACAGATGTGGCCACTGGAGCCCAGCTTGGCCAGTGACCACTAGAGGTCACCCAGAGTTTAGGTAGCGGGGGGACTCAGGCACAGCAGCCCTGGCGGCGAGTGTCTGTCCACGGAGATCTGGCTCTGCACAATGCTCGCAGCACATGCTGGGGCTGGATAGAAGAGGAAGGAGCCCCTGCCTGCCCGGCCCCACCTCCTCCACCCAAGCCCCTCTGCCCTGGCACTCCCCCCCTCCGTGTCTCTGCAGCCCAAACTGCCCCTCCTTTTCCCTCTCGCATTGTTATGCTCAGAGGAGGCTGCCTGGGTGTCCTTGTCCCCCTGCTCTCTGGGAGAGGCTGGGCGCAGGGAGGGAGGGTGAGCCCTGGGACAAGGCGCAGGCAAATGGGTCCCTACGGGGCTTTTGAGAAGCAGCGAGGTGGCTGCTTGAGGACAGTGCAGCCTGTCCAGGAATGATGGATCCCTGTCCTTCCCCTACCCCGCCCCCCAGCACAGACTGAGTAACCAGGAGAGGGTGGAGGGCACAGAGCAGAGCCCAGCTGAGCTGCCTGGCTGAGAATGCTGGACTGGGGGCTCCTCCTTGCTCAACCCAGGGCTTGGAGATGACCTGCAAGATCCAGTGTGGGTGGGATGGATCATGGATCAGGCATCCTGGCTGTCACTGGGTACCGTTCCCTACTGCAGACTGGGTCACAGGAGTGGTGTGGCGGCACGGAATTGCTCCCCACACAGGGGGGGCTGGGCTCACCAACTTTCCTTTTTTTTAATCATTTTATTGGGGGATCTTACAGCTCTTATCACAATCCATACATCCATCCATTGTGTCCAGCACATTTGTACATCTATTGCCATCATCATTCTCAAAACATTTTCTTTCTATTGGAGCCCTTGGTATTCGTTCATTTCCCCCTCCCCCAC